CACTGTCCCAACTCCTTCGAGACACAAGAGAAAGCGAAACCATGCCCATAAGGTTAATGAGGTTGAAACTAAAAGGAAATTTGAAGCTTGTTTTTCAGAGATGTGTTTCTCCCTAATCAGCTATGGTTTCTTTCCAGACCCCACTAGCAAACCCGCTAGATGTCTCTGCAGAGGCATAAGCTGAAGGTCACAGATATGGCTCCAGCCTGTGAACAAGCATTCCTTCCCTGAGATAATGAGCTCGACACCCAATCCAGTTTATACTGGCTCACAGAACATGCATCTAGCCCCTCACCTTGTCTTAAGAGGACCTCCCGAAGGCAGGAGCCAAATTTTGTCTTTTAATGGTAAGTCTATACCCCAAAGTGAACATGGGATGTATATTACATGTATGTTTGCCAAATGTGCAAGCTCCATCTTTCCTCCTTAAAAGTCATAAGTTTCCCCACCCTTTTGATCAACATGTATGTATTCCCTGGCACTATGATAATTTAAACAAAAACGAAAGCAACAACAACAACAACAACAACAAAACAACAACCACCAAAAAACCTTGTCCTGTCCCCCTTCAGGAAGGTGGATTTGAGGCTTGCCCTTCTGTCTCCCATTTTGGCTGCCTCTTGAACAAACCCTTTCCTTGCTGCATACTCGATGTCTCAGTGATTGGCTTGGCTGCGTGACAAGGCACACAAACTTGGGTTTGGTTGCAGACCTCACACTTCTATTTAAAACATGAAGAGGCCCGCTATAAAAGTTGTGTACTTTCAGGCAGTTTTAGCTGAACACAGTCAAGACTATTTTATACTTTTTTGCCTTAAGTCTCTGAAATTATAACTGGAAGCAAAAGGTTGGCAAGATAAATATTTCGTGGCACAGAAAAACTAGGACTTATACATTTAAGCTCATGATTACTGTACATTTTCCAAATCACTGATTGTTCAATTTCATGCCTCAATCTAGGAAAGTTATGGGGGTCCTGCAGATCCTAGAACCTTATTCCATTTTTCACCTGATTGTGATCCAGGTTGACTTTCCCCATTATTGCTTTTACACAGTGAAATACACAATGACAAATTATTCAAGTCGCATTTTACCCATTAGTACATTCAGTGGGTGACTAAGAATAACAGCCTATTTGCTGAAATACTTTTTGAAATACTACATGAAAAAAAATTCTGGTAGCCTGGTGATAACAACATAAAAAGTGTGATATGTCAATAATACTATAACTGACAAAGCCATCTTTGAGAAAAAACAAAACAAAACATTAAGCCCCTGTCTTTATGGTCATAAAGCAACTTACCTTTCAATCTGATTATGTTAACAGGCATCTGTTATGTAAAACTCTATAGTGTCCACAGTTAATTACAAGCATGTTCTTCTTGGGGAAAAATAGTTTTTCAACTTCCACCCAGTAGCTACTATTACAAACCATATTTTTAAGCCAAAATGGAACCTAAGTAGTTAATTAAAAAAAATAAATTATATGTAGCCTAGTTAGGGAAATAGGAGTGCTTGTGTACCTCTGATAAAGGTATAAACTAGTCTACAGTTTTTCTGGGAGAAGAGGGAGTTATGTGACAACGGAGAGGAAAAAGCCTTTTAAAAATAGACATTTTCTTTGACTCTGAAATTCCATTTCTAGGGATTCATAGTAAAAAAAATAATTAAAAAAATAATTTGAGTATATAAGATATGTGTTTTATTTGTTTACAGTGCAGGACAGAGGAACTCACTTAAAAAGTCCAACAAAGACTTAAGCGGATACCCTGATACTGGAATACTATTTAGCTGTTAAAAATGAAATGCAATTCTGTATCTACTGACTTAGAAACAGGTCAATGATGCTGATGGGTTGGGTATGTTTACCAGAATGTAAGGTCACCACCCAAAATAACTACTGTAATCACGTGATTTTTACTTCCTCTTTTATAATTTTCTGTACTGTCCAGCATTTTACAATGAATATACATAACCTAATCAGAAAATGATATTTTCACTTTTTAGGAGGGGAAGCTATAAGGTTAAAAACTGGGTTAATTTAAAAAAAAAAGAAAATTTATTGGGGCACCTGGGTGGCTCGGTCGGTTAAGCATCTGACTCTTGGTTTCAGCTCAGGTTATGATCTCACGGTTCGTGAGTTTGAGCCCCGCTTTGGGTGACCTCGAACCCTGCTTCGGGTGAGTCCCAATTCTCTCTCTCTCTCTCTGCCCCTTGCTCACTTGGGTCCTCTCTCTCTCTCTCTCTCTCTCTCTCTCTCTCTCAAAAAAAAAATTAGGTTAAATTTTTTTTAGGTTAAATTATTAAAATAATTTTTAAAGAGAAAAAGTTATTAACCACAAGGAAACACCTGAAAGGAGAGAAAGAGGACACTGGATGAGAGTTCAACAAAATTTTGGAAGACCTAAAGCAAGCAAACTAGCAGTAACTGACGGGGAGCCGAGAGAGCTAAAAGCTAACGGCCAACAGAGGACACTGACAAGAGGCAAATGGACCCCCTGAGCCCATGCCTCTGAAGACAGAGATGAGGGATACGCTGAAGAAAGAGGGTTGGCCCTCAGCTTGCACAGGGGACAGTTCTTCTCCCTGATCCTGCTCTTCCCCAGCTGGGCTGGAGACAGGTTTTCTTTTCGGAAAAGCGAACGAGAGAAACTCTGGACTCCAGGACACTAGGTACAACAGAAGGAGGGAGTAAAGCTGAAATGAAAAGGATGCTGTGGGGGTAAGAACCACCCACCCTGCCCCCAGCCCCATTCCAATTTCCTCTTTTTGGCTACCAGAATAGGCAGTGAGGCTAATATCCTCCAGGCAAGGGACTGAAGAAGTCTGCTTTGTAGAAATGGAATGACTCAAGACACCAACATCTGAATAGCCTGTTGGTAAAGCCCAGTGAGCTTTCCAAACAGTATTTTAGTGCCTCGTTCTCAAATATGAATGGACAGACAAGGATCTGCAGATATAGGAGAGGCTGTGACCAAAACAAGCAGGAAGTGGAACTTGGAGGAGATAGGCAATAACAGGAGAAGAATCCTTCATAAAAGGAGTCCCTTGAACATCCTCGAAGGAATAAGAGACAAACACACTGACTGCATTCATGAAAGAGCAACAGGGTGCTATGAAAAGAACATGGAGGAAATGGGAACGAGCTCTTGAAAATTAAAATTCTGATACTGGAAATGGAAACTCCAATAGCTAGAAGAAGTGATAAAGTAGAGAGGCTCTGGGGGCGCCTGGGTGGCTCAGTCATTTAAGCATCTGACTTCAGCT